TCTGGAGTGGATGGGGATGGAGGGTTTGGGATGAAGGAGGGGGTCTAGGCTGGGGCCAAGGGATTTGGAATGCAGGAGGTGGCTGTGGGTTGAGGCAGGGAGTTGGGGTGCAGAAGGGGGTGAGGGCTCTGGCGTGGGACCAGGGAGCAGCAGTTCAGGGTGTGGAAGGGGCTGCTGCTGTGGTAAGAGGTTGAGGTGCAGAGGAGTTAAGGTTCTGGGCTGGGGGTGCAGGCTCTGGGATACAAGAGTGAGCTCCAGGTTCGGGGAGAGGCTCAGGCCTGGGTCCTGTGTTGCAGGAGAGGGCTCTGGGCTTGGGGGGGTGGGTCTTATGTGTAGGGCAGGGGGTTGGAGCTCAGACTTACCCTGAGTGGCTCCTGGTCAGCTGCACTAAGTCAGGACGCTATGTCCCAGAAGGGACCAGCAGGTCCAGCTCCTAGGTGGGGCAGGACAGGGTTCTGCCGCACGGCATGTTCACTGCTCTCCCACAAGCACCACCCCCTGCTGCTACTGACCGGGAACCGGCCAATGGGACTGTGGAGCCAGTGCTCAGGGTGGGGTGGGGGGAGAGGAGAAGCATGCAGAGCCCTGGGCCCCCTTCCTTAAGAGCTAGGCCTGCTGGCCACTTCCAGAAGCAGCATGGTGTGCCAATACAGGCAGTAGCCTATCTCGGGTCCACAGCGCCGCCAACTCAACTTTTAATGGCCAAGGCCCCTTTTTGTTACAGTCAAAAACCAGACACCCGGTCACCCTAATAGGAACGTTGTCTCCCTGCACAAGGATAGCGAAGTCAACGGAAAGGTTCTGCTGTCAGCACAGCTGGGCCTATGCCGGGGGTTAGGTCTGCACAGCTCCGTTGATTGGGGAGGGGGGATTTACACACACACACACACACACACACACACACACACACCCCACCACAACTGATGTAGCTACACCGACCTAAATTTTAAGTGTAGACCAGGACTTAATGTCTGTGCTGCACTGACAGAACCATCGATAGCTAAAAACGAGCCGGAGGATAGGCCCTTCATATTAAAATCACAAGAACAGTCACACTGGGTCAGACCAAAGGTCTCTCTAGCCCAGAATCTTTTCTGCCGACAGTGGCTAATGCCAGGTGACGCAGAGGGAATGAACAGAACAGGGAACCATCAACGGATCTCTTCCTTGTCATCTATTCCCCACTTCTGGCAAACAGAGGCTAGGGACACCATTCCTGGCTGTCCTGGCTAGTAGCCAGTGATGGACCTATCCTCCATGAATGTATTTAGCTCTTTTTTGAACCCTGTTAAAGTCCTGCTCTTCACAACCTCCTCTGGCAAGGAGTTCCACAGGTTGACTGTGCACTGCATGAAGAAAAACTTTATTGTGTTTGTTTTGAACCTGCTACCTATTAATTTCATTTGGTGACTCCTAGTTCTTATATTAAGGGAGCACGTGAATAACTTTTCCTTAGTCACTTTTCCCACACCAGTCATGATTTTATAGCAGTGATCCCCAATCCTTTGGGGCGTGCGCCGGGCGCCTGGAGGCAGAGCCATGCATCCGGGGGCGGGGCCATGCATATGCCACACGTCTGGGGGTGGGGCCATGTGTGCGTTGCGAGCAAGGCCGGCTCTAGGTTTTTTTACTGTCCCTAGCAAAAAACAATTTTGTCCACACACTGCCCCCCTCCCACACCTTGCACACTACTGCAGGACAGGCACTGAGGAGAAAAGCATCCCTTTCACCTTGCAGCTCTTTGACTCCCACCATGCCCTCCAGCCAAATCCAGCCCACGTCTTGTCTCCCCTCCACACACATCCCAACCCCCCCCACACTCAGTTTCCATCTTCTCTCCCCTCCCAGGCAAACTCTACCCCTCAGTGACTGGACGCAGTCTGCCCCCCCTTCTATCCTCCACATGATCCACCCTGCGCCCTCTCTTCCCTCCCAGCCAAACCCAATCCCCCCGCCCCGACTGGACCCAGTCCTCTCCCCTCTCCTACTTCCCCCCACTGACCGAACTCCGTCTCCTTTCCCGCCCCCCACCAAACCCTCACGTCCCCTCCTCCCAGCACGTGCACAAACATTGGCGCACCCTGAGGAAGGGGTGAAAGTGGCACAGGTCCCCCTGCGGATGCGCATGGACACAGCCGGGAAACAAAGGGCAAGGCCAGGGACAACTCCTCTCCCCTTCCCTCCCCACTGGACCCAGTCCGCACCCCTCTCCCACTTCCCCCCACTGACCGAACTCCGTCTCCTTTCCCGCCCCCCACCAAACCCTCACGTCCCCTCCTCCCAGCACGTGCACAAACATTGGCGCACCCTGAGGAAGGGGTGAAAGTGGCACAGGTCCCCCTGCGGATGCGCATGGACACAGCCGGGAAACAAAGGGCAAGGCCAGGGACACCTCTCCCCCCCTCCTCCCAAATCTCTGAGCCGGGACAGGCGAGGCCCCGTCCAGCAGTTCCTTACCGCCAGACCTACCAGATGAGGCTGCTGCGCCCCCCTGCACATTGGGCTGAGCTGGCTGGTGCCAGTCAGAGGAGCGCAAATTATCCCCAGGCGCCAGAGTCTGCTTCATGGATGGGAGGCTCCTTTGGGCATTTCCCGCTCTGCTGCTGGTGGGTGCTGGGCACCGGAAGCTGTGCCAGGAAGGCGACTGGAGCCGGCGCGTGGCCAGCGCTCCTGCCGGGGCCGCCCCGCGGCGACGCCCTCTCGCGCTCACTAGAGGGCGCACTTTTCTCCCTGGTGCCGGCGGAAGGCAGCCCCGGAACCATGATGTCATGGCGCCTCAGCCAATCACAGCAGGGCTCACTGCTGGCCCATCGCTTGCTCCGCTGCCCCGCCCGTTGCCTTGGGCGGGCACAGGGAGGCCTGCGTCAGGCAGTAAGGGTTAGGAATTCAGGAGTTCTCCGGCCAGTGTCTCTCAGGGGCGGCCGGAATGCGGCCCCTGGCCATGTGCCACACCAAGCATGTGCTTGGTTTGCTGGTGCCTAGAGCCGGCACCTGGCGGGTGCACATAAGTGCCCCGGCGGGCACCATGGCACCCGCAGGCACCACGTTGGGGACCACTGTTTTATAGATTTCTATCATATCCCCCCTTAGATCATTAGGAAGGTATCTGCCCCCAGACCTGTTGCTCATTCATAAAACTGTGTGCTGCACCCTTATGCAGTGAACAGAAAGAACTACCCTGCCAACACACATATACATATTCCCTAGGGCATTTATCACCAGTAAGATGTGCCGTAACATGTGCCTATTAATTGTTACTGAGGTACAAATATACTGACCTGAGGGACATCGGTAGCAGCAGCTTTTTAAAGTTTCATCATAGAACCAGTTATTTAGCACATCACAGGAGCGGGCTGAGGTAATCAACATCTAGAAAATCAAAAAGACCAAAGACAGCATTAAAACTCCAAAACAGAGGCATACAATGCAGCATACTTAGTCATTATTCAATAGGCACCCAATACAAGACACAGAAGAGCCCATCTTCATGCAGCTCTTTTCTGTGAATGAGGAGAGGATGTGAGTGTAGGAACAGGATGCTGCATAGCAACCCACCCATTTGCCATTTCAGTGCTCAAAAACCAAACCCTTCTTGCTTTCAGCGACAAACAACTGCAGTAATGGTCATAGGTGCAGGAAGTCGAGGTGCAGGGGCATTTCAGCACCCCCCCCCCCCCGGATTTGTACCCACCTTCAACAGCCCCAGGTTCTGGCCTCTGGGTGGCCCCTGTGGGTCCCACCATCCTACGATCTCACGGGCACTGCCAACTCTTGGGGCCTCGTCACCCATTGCTCCTGTCTCTGCGGGCTCCACAGCCCACTGGCCCTGCCAGCCCCAGCATCCAGGCCACCAGCTCAGAAGGTTCCTCTGCTGTCTGGGGTCCTGCCGTCGGCCTGGGGCTCTGCTTCTGCTCTCAACCCGGGGATCAGCAGCTGCCCCCAGCTTGGGATGGTAAAGGACTAGAGTTGTCCAAGGACTGGACTTGACACCATCACCAGGAATGGCTTCCGGTCGTCCAGTCCAGCAGATTAGGCAACTGGCAGAGGCTGTTCCAGCGCCTTTGGTAATGCCTTGGCATGATCCCCTCCCTGCTCCAAACCAGGACTTTGGAATAACCAAAGTAGAATCCCTAAGGAACACATATCCAGTTTTAGATGTGGCATTCACTAGACTTTGGGGCCTAGTCAGTGCTCTGTAGTGATCCAGCCAGAATGGACATGATAAATAAAATAAACTTTTTACATTAATAATCAGAGTATTATTTCAAGGCACCTGGTGACCTGGGCCACTCACAAAAGACACGTGCCATTTTTGTCAAGGGTCCTTGAAATTCATTTTTAACACTTCTGCTGTTTCATTAAGCCCCTGGTGGGTCCAGCAGCCTCCTCTCCTGTATATCAACATAGTAAATACATACCTGCGTACAACTGCTTAACTGGATATAATCCAGCCCACAGACCTGCTTGAGGTTCAATTGTTTTGCTGGTAACGTGGGAGGAGAACCCACACTGGCATCAGTGGTAGTTTGGGCCAAAGAGGGAGCCCACAAACCGTTACACCCATGCCAAGTTCCACTGACTTGAGCAAAACTTCTCTTGTGCGTAGAAGGTTTTCAGGAGCAGCCTCTGCTCTGGCCTTTGTAAAAAGACACAGTTGTGAATTGCCTCAAGATGCAGATAAGCCAGAAGGCAGCCGCTCCTTGTGCACCAGCACCTGGCTTGGGGCAAAGTGACGCAGAGGCTGGGAAATTTCACTCCTACAGAGCTTTTGATGAGATCGTTTGAACTTGGCATTCCCCCTTCTTCCCCTGCCCCTCCCCGACTATGGTGAGCTGAATTCCATTTCAGCAACAGGTGGAAAGTGCACAATCATCTAAAACAGGAACTTGTCTGAGAAAAAGATGGAACAGGCAAATCCACAATAGACTGCGCTGCTTGGTAGTGGTTGGCGAGGTAACAAGGACTTCAGGAAATCTACAGTGTATCAACATCTCCTTGGCTTCCGTGGGAGAATTTTCTCCCGTCCTTCGACATAGAATCATAGAACTGGAAGAGACCTCAGAAGGTCATCAAGTCCAGCCCCCTGCTCTAGGCAGGACCAATTCCAACTAAATCACCCCGGCCAGGGCTTTGTCAAGCCGAGACTTAAACACCTCTAGGGATGGAGACTCCACTACTTCCCTAGGTAACCCATTCCAGTGCTTCACCACCCTCCTAGTGAAATAGTTTTTCCTAATATCCAACCTGGACCTCTCCCACCACAACTTGAGACCATTGCTCCTTGTTCTGCCATCTGTCACTACTGAGAATAGCCTCTCTCCATCCTCTTTGGAACCTCCCTTCAGGAAGTTGAAGGCTGCTAATCAAATCCCCCTCACTCTTCGCTTCTGCAGACTAAACAGACCCAAGTCCCTCAGCCTCTCCTCATAAGTCATATGCTCCAGCCCCCTAATCATTTTGGTTGCCCTCTGCTGGACCCTCTCCAATCCGTCCACATCCTTTTTGTAGTGGGGGGCCCAGAACTGGACACAATACTCCAGATGTGGCCTCACCAAAGCCGAATAAAGGGGAATGATGACATCTCTGGATCTGCTGGCAATGCTCCTCTTAATGCAGCCTAATATGCCATTAGCCTTCTTGGCTACAAGGGCACACTGTTGACTCATATCTAGCTTCTCATCCACTGTAACCCCCAGGTCCTTTTCTGCAGAACTGCTACTTAACCGGTTGGTCCCCAGCTTGTAACAATGCTTGGGATTCTTCCGTCCCAAGTGCAGGACTCTTCACTTGTCCTTGTTGAACCTCATCAGATTTCTTGTGGCCCAATCCTCCATCACACTTCACCCTTCTCCAGTGCCTGCTGTAGACAGTGCAGAGGGCTTTACCACTGACCTCGCGCCCATAAGAATGGCCACACTGGTTCAGACCAAAGCTCCATCTAGATTAGTATCCTGTCTGCCGACAGCGACTAATGCCAGGTGCTCCAGAAGGAATGGACAGAACAGGGAACCTTCAAGTGATTCATCCCCGTCACCCAGTCCCAGCTTCTGATAGAGGCTAGGGACACCATTCCTGCCCATCCTGGCTAATAGCCGTTGATAGACCTATCCTCCATGAATGTATCTAGCTCTTTTTTGAATGATGTTAGTGTCTTGGATTTCACAATATCCTCTGGCAAGGAGTTCCACAGGTTGACTATGCGTTGTGTGAAGAAATCCTTCCTTTTGTTTTGTTTTAAACCTGCTACCTATTGATTTCCTTTGGTGACCCCTGGTTCTTGTGTCATCTTCTGAAGCTCAATATCTCTTTTCTACAGATTAGGAACCCAGTGTCCTAGGTCAGGCAGCAGGAACAATAGGAAAGCCTAGAAGGGTCTGTCTACAGTGCAATTAAAAACCCATGGCTGACCCAAGGCAGGTGACTCGGGCTCAAGTGGCCTGGGCTAAGGGGCTGTTTAATGCCAGTGTAGATGTGTAAATGATACCTGGTCTCGGAGAGGGTCACAGAGCTCGGGTAGCAGCCCAAATGGATGGACTGCAGTTAAAGCAGCCCCATAGCCTCAGTCCCAAGAGTCCGAGTCACCCAGCCAAGGGTGGCTAATTGCAGTGTAAACATGTCCCCTGGAATGAAACCCAGGAGCTGTCAGTCAAATGGCAAATCAGTAGGAGAATTGGAAATAGAATCTCTCTAACCACTTGTACATGCTACCATCTAGAGAAGGAGGGGGCAATCTTTTTGTGTGTGTGGGGGGGGGCACTCTAAGAATGTGGTAAGCGGTCAAGGGCCGCACTCTTCCATGATACTAATGGAGAGGGTGTGGGGCCTGCTTGGAGTTTGGGTGAAGAGGGGGTTGTGACCTGGGGCAGAGGATTGAGGTATGGGTGCAGGAGGGGGAGCAGAGGCTTTGGGTTATGTGGGGTAGAGCAGCAGGAGTGGAGGGCAGAAGAGCGGGGCTGGGGTGCCAGAATCAGGGTCTGGCCAGGAGACACTTACCTGGGCGACTCCCAGCCAGCAACCCAGCAAATTCCCTGCCTTCCATGCCCTGGCAGGCAGCTCAGAGCAGCCGGCTGCAGGGCCATGTGCGTCCAAAAAGCTGTGAGCCTGAGGGGCGGGGATACAGGAGCCAATGGGAGCTGCAAGATTGGGGCAGGGTGTCGGGGCAGCACGTGAAACCTATTCCCACCTCCTCTAAGCTAAAGCTGCTCACAGACAAACCGGGCCCCGCAAGTGGCTTTTCTGAGGCGGGTACCTTATCCATGTGTGGGGGTGGGGCAGGCAGGGAACCTGACTGAGGCGCCCATTGTGCCCATGGGCTAGATTCAGCAGCTTGGCAGGCTGTATTTTGCCCGGCCCTGATCTAGACACAATAATAGAACCAAGAATCCTGCTCTAAATACTAGGCCTTAGGAAAAACAACTTCCCTTATTTTTTTTCTAGCCTGTCACATAAGGAAACCACAGGTGTCAAACTGACCCAAGAGGCTGCCTCAACTCATAGAAAGTGGCAGTAGGGTCTCCTTGCCTATCCATCAGGAGTACCTTAGCCTCAGAAGGGCTGGCTAGCTATTTTAAGCAGTGATAAAAAGTCTCAGAGGCGTAGCCATGTAAGTTTGTAGCTTTCAGCAGTGATGACAGTCACATTTCGGGTGGAAGATCACTTAGGGGTCACTCTAGTGTATTAACTAAGACAGGGCTACTATAAGGTGGGTGCATAACTGGTTATATAACCGTTCCCAGAGAGTAGTTATCAGTGGTTCACAGTCATGCTGGAAGGGCATAACGAGTGAGGTTCTACAAGGATCAGTTTTGGGACCAGTTCTGTTCAATAGCTTCATCAACCATTTAGATGATGGCACAGGGACTACGCTTACTAAGTTTGCAGATGATACCAAGTTGAGAGGGTGCAATTGGTTGGAGGATAGTATTGTAATTCAAAATGATCTAGACAAACTGGAGAAATGGTCAGGTAAAAAGGATGAAGCTCAATAAGGATAAATGCAAACTACTCCACTCAGGGAGGAACAACCCGTTTCACACATTCAGAATGGGACGCGACTGTCTAGGAAGGAGTACTGCAGAAAGGGATCAAGGGGTTATAGTGGAACACAAGCTAAATATGAGTCAACAGTGTGACACTGTGGCAAGAAAAGCAAACATGAGTGTGGGATGCATTAACAGGAGTGTTGTAAGAAAGACATTAAAGTAATTCTGCTCTACTTTGTGCTGATTAGGCCTCAACTGGAGTATTGTGTCCAGTTCTGAGCATCATATTTCAAGAAAGATGTGGACAATTTGGACACAGTCCAAAGAAGAGCAACAAAGATGATTAAAGGGCTAGAAAAACATGACTTACAAGAGAAGACTGAAAGAACTGGGATTGTTGAGTCC